TTAAGCCATAATATAGCTTCCCTCTGCCTTTTCTATAAATATTTTCATGGTAATTGTTCCGATAGGCTTTCCGCTTTGGTACCTAGACTTTATGAATTTAAGCCATAATATAGCTTCCCTCTGCCTTTTCTATAAATATTTTCATGGTAATTGTTCTGATGGGCTTTCCTTTGGTAACTAGACTTTATGAATTTATGCCATAATGTAGCTTCCCTCTACCTTTTTTATAAATATTTTCATGAATTGTTCCGATGGGCTATCCGCTTTGGTACCTAGACTTTATGAATTTAAGCCATAATATAGCTTCCCTCTGCCTTTTCTATAAATATTTTTCATGGTAATTGTTCTGATGGGCTTTCCGCTATGGTACCTAACTTTATGAATTTAAGCCATAATATAGCTTCCCTCTGCCTTTTCTATAAATATTTTCATGGTAATTGTTCGATGGGCTTTCCTTTTGGTACCTAGACTTTATGAATTTAAGCCATAATATAGCTTCCCTCAGCCTTTTCTATAAATATTTTCATGGTAATTGTTCTGATGGGCTTTCCGGGTACCTAGACTTTATGAATTTAAGCCATAATATAGCTTCCCTCTGCCTTTTCTATAAATATTTTCATGGTAATTGTTCCGATAGGCTTTCGCTTTGGTACCTAGACTTTATGAATTTAAGCCATAATATAGCTTCCCTCTGCCTTTTCTATAAATATTTTCATGGTAATTGTTCTGATGGGCTTTCCGCTTTGGTACGAGGACTTTATGAATTTAAGGCATAATATAGCTTCCCTCTGCCTTTTCTATAAATATTTTCATGGTAATTGTTCTGATGGGCTTTCCGCTTTGGTACCTAGACTTTATGAATTTAAGCCATAATATAGCTTCCCTCTGCCTTTTCTATAAATATTTTCATGGTAATTGTTCCGATGGGCTTTCCGCTTTGGTACCTAGACTTTATGAATTTAAGCCATAATATAGCTTCCCTCTGCCTTTTCTATAAATATTTTCATGGTAATTGTTCTGATGGGCTTTCCCTTTGGTACCTAGACTATATGAATTTAAGCAATAATATAGCTTCCCTCTGTCTTTTCTATAAATATTTTCATGGTAATTGTTCTGATGAGGTTTCCTCTTTGGTACCTGGACTTTATGAATTTAAGCCATAATATAGCTTCCCTCTGCCTTTTCTATAAATATTTTCATGGTAATTGTTCTGATGGGCTTTCCGCTTTGGTACCTAGACTTTTAAATTTAAGCCATAATATTTCCCTCTGCCTTTTCTATAAATATTTTCATGGTAATTGTTCTGATGGGCTTTCCGCTTTGGTACCTAGACTTTATGAATTTAAGCCATAATATAGCTTCCCTCTGCCTTTTCTATAAATATTTTCATGGTAATTGTTCTGAGGAGCTTTCCTCTTTGGTACCTAGACTTTATGAAATTAAGCCATAATATAGCTTGCCTCTGCCTTTGCTATAAATATTTTCATAGTAATTGTTCCGATAGGCTTTCCCTTTGGTACCTAGACTTTATGAATTTAAGCCATAATATAGCTTCCCTCTGCCTTTTCTATAAATATTTTCATGGTAATTGTTCTGATGGGCTTTCCGCGCTATGGTACCTAGACTTTATGAATTTAAGCCATAATATAGCTTCCCTCTGCCTTTTCTATAAATATTTTCATGGTAATTGTTCCGATGGGCTTTCCGCTTTGGTACCTAGACTTTATGAATTTAAGCCATAATATAGTTCCCTCTGCCTTTTCTATAAATATTTTCCTGGTAATTGTTCTGATGGGCTTTCCCTTTATGGTATCTAGACTTTATGAATTTATGCCATAATATAGCTTCCCTCTGCCTTTTCTATAAATATTTTCATAGTAATTGTTCCGATAGGCTTTCCCTTTGGTACCTAGACTTTTATGAATTTAAGCCATAATATAGCTTCCCTCTGCCTTTTCTATAAATATTTTCATGGTAATTGTTCTGATGGGCTTTCCGCTTTGGTACGAGGACTTTATATGAATTTAAGGCATAATATAGCTTCCCCTCTGCCTTTTCTATAAATATTTTCATGGTAATTGTTCTGATGGGCTTTCCGCTTTGGTACCTAGACTTTATGAATTTAAGCCAATATAGCTTCCCTCTGCCTTTTCTATAAATATTTTCATGTGGGCTTTCCGCTTTGGTACCTAGACTTTATGAATTTAAGCCATAATATAGCTTCCCTCTGCCTTTTCTATAAATATTTTCATGGTAATTGTTCTGATGGGCTTTCCGCTTTGGTACCTAGACTATATGAATTTAAGCAATAATATAGCTTCCTCTGTCTTTTCTATAAATATTTTCATGGTAATTGTTCTGATGAGGTTTCCTCTTTGGTACCTGGACTTTATGAATTTAAGCCATAATATAGCTTCCCTCTGCCTTTTCTATAAATATTTTCATAGTAATTGTTCTGATGGAAAACTTTCCTTTTGGTACCTAGACTTTATGAATTTAAGCCATAATAATATAGCTTCCCTCTGCCTTTTCTATAAATATTTTCATGGTAATTGTTCCGATGGGCTTTCCGCTTTGGTACCTAGACTTTATGAATTTAAGCCATAATATAGCTTCCCTCTGCCTTTTCTATAAATATTTTCATGGTAATTGTTCTGATGGGCTTTCCTTTGGTACCCTAGACTTTATGAAGTTAAGCCATAATATAGCTTCCCTCTGCCTTTTCTATAAATATTTTCATGGTAATTGTTCTGATGGGCTTTCCGCTTTGGTACCTAGACTTTATGAATTTAAGCCATAATATAGCTTCCCTCTGCCTTTTCTATAAAGATTTTCATGGTAATTGTTCTGATGGGCTTTCCGCTTTGGTACCTAGACTTTATGAATTTAAGCCATAATATAGCTTCCCTCTGCCTTTTCTATAAATATTTTCCTGGTAATTGTTCTGATGAGCTTTCCTCTTTGGTACCTAGACTTTATGAATTTAAGCCATAATATAGCTTCCTCTGCCTTTTCTATAAATATTTTCATGGTAATTGTTCTGATGGGCTTTCCGCTTTGGTACCTAGACTTTATGAATTTAAGCCATAATATAGCTTCCCTCTGCCTTTTCTATAAATATTTTCATATTAATTGTTCGATGGGCTTTCCGCTTTGGTACCTAGACTTTATGAATTTAAGCCATAATATAGCTTCCCTCTGCCTTTTCTATAAATATTTTCATGAGAATTGCTTTCCTTTGACCTAGACTTTATAATTTAAGCCATAATATTTTCCCTCCTTTTTCTATAAATATTTTCATAGTAATTGTTCTGATGGGCCTAGACTTTTATGAATTTAAGCCATAATATAGCTTCCCTCTGCCTTTTCTATAAATATTTTCATGGTAATTGTTCCGATAGGCTTTCCGCTTTGGTACCTAGACTTTATGAATTTAAGCCATAATATAGCTTCCCTCTGCCTTTTCTATAAATATTTTCATGGTAATTGTTCTGATGGGCTTTCCGCTTTGGTACCTAGACTTTATGAATTTAAGCCATAATATTTCCCTCTGCCTTTTCTATAAATATTTTCATGGTAATTGTTCCGATAGGCTTTCCTTTGGTACCTAGACTTTATGAATTTAAGCCATAATATAGCTTCCCTCTGCCTTTTCTATAAATATTTTCATGGTAATTGTTCTGAGGAGCTTTCCTCTTTGGTACCTAGACTTTATGAATTTAAGCCATAATATAGCTTGCCTCTGCCTTTTCTATAAATATTTTTCATGGTAATTGTTCTGATGGGCTTTCCTCTTTGGTACCTTTAGACTTTATGAATTTAAGCCATAATATAGCTTCCCTCTGCCTTTTCTATAAATATTTTCATGGTAATTGTTCTGAGGAGCTTTCCTCTTTGGTACCTAGACTTTATGAATTTAAGCCATAATATAGCTTGCCTCTGCCTTTTCTATAAATATTTTCATGGTAATTGTTCTGAGGAGCTTTCCTCTTTGGTACCTCATCGCAATCTTTTGTCTACCTGAATCTTGTACTTTTATTGTCTTTTCTCCTCACTAAGGTTTTCTTATTCTCTTTCAGTACCAGTAACCCCTTGTGTGCTAGCGGCATTATCGCCTCGCTTGGGGTGAAATGATTTTTTAAAAATCCTATCACACAGAAATATGTATACATTTTTTATCATTTTACTCCAAGCATGGCGGGAATGCCACTGGTACCCCGGGGGTAACAGAGAGTGAAAGAGAAAAGATTGAGTATAGGAAGGATTAAGGAAAGGTCAAAAGATGAACAGTATTCAAGAAGAGAAAAGATGGCGATTGACGTTGCATTTAAATTTTGTTAATCATTTCTCCCCAAGCAAGGCGGGAATGCCACTAGTACACAGGGGCTTACAAGGAGTGAAGGATGGCGACTGACGTTGCATTTAAATGTTTGAATATTGTAGTTATCAGGGATGCAAGTAAACGGAGTTCTAGAGGCAGGAAGTGCGAGAAAAGAAACTGTTGGAGTAAAAGTGGTTGTTACATTCTGCTATTTCAGCAGTAAACGAACGGGACCTAGATGCCAGTCTAGTAGCACCATTAAATTCACAGTCGAGGCATCGGGAAAAAGTCTCCTTACAGGCATTATCATGAAAATATTTGTAGATTTCTATAAGCATTTTGATGGTAATTGTTCGGCTGAAATCTTTTCTATGGATCCTAGATTTCATGAATTTAAGGCACATTACTAGATCAGCAACAAGTTCTCATCATTTTTTTAAAATGGCGATTAACGTTGCATTTCAATTTTGTTAATCATTTCACCCCAGGCAAGGTGGGAATGCCACTGGTACTCAGGGGCCACAGAGAGTGAAAGTAAGAGAAAAGACTGAATTTAGGGAGGATTGAGGAAAGGTCAAAAGATGAAAGGGGGTTCAAGAAAATATAAGATTGTGATTGACATTACATTTAAATTTTGTTAACCATTTCACTCCAAGCAAGGCGGGAATGCCACTGGTACTCAGGGAGTCACAGGGAGTGAAAGTGAGAGAAAAGACTGAGTATAGGGAGGATTGAGGAAAGGTCAAATATGAACGAGATTCAAGAAGATATAAGATGGCGATTGACGTTGCATTTAAATTTTGTTAATCATTTCACCCCAAGAAAGGTGGGAATGTCACTAGTACTGAGGGGGTCATAGGGAGTGAAAGTAAGAGAAAAGACTGAGTATAGGAAAGATTGAGGAAAGGTCAAAAGATGAACGGGGGTCAAGAAGATTTTTTTGTAGTTATCAGGGAAACAAGCAAACAGAAGGAATTCCACAGGCGGGAAGTGCGAGAAAAGAAACTGTTGAAGTAGAAGTGGCGGTTGAAATTAGCTTTTTTTTTTAAAGGGTGTGAGCTAGATGCCAGTATAGTAGCGCGCTTAAATACGTAGTCGGGACATCAGGAAAAAAAGCTCGTCAGATTAGTTGCCCTGAAAATATTTGTAGAAAGGACAGAGGGAGGCCACGTCACGTTGGTGAGAAAGTGATGTCGAGATGCCTGATTAGGATCGATTACATTACAGATCATTCTTTGGATTTTGCCAAGAAACTTAAGATGAGTAGCAGGAGTACCTGACCATATAAAGTAATATTATTCAATGCACGGACGAAGGGTGGATTTGTAAATGTGCAAGATAGACTGACGAGAACAAACTTCTGGCACGACATAGTGACCTAACTTTCCTTGCAGTAGATACAGCTACTGATTTGATGTTGTCGCTCCACTTCAAGTCAATTTAATATTGTAAGCGTAAATTTACCTCACAGCAGCTCTGACCGCAATAGTGACTTTTTCTTCTCATTGATTAGAAGGTCGGACTTTAATAAATGTCTAAATCAGATAGTGTAGCTTTATTGGTCCACAAATTTGTACATATCCAGCAAACATTTCAAATTTCACCAGGGATAAAAGAAAGAAATGAGATCCTCAATGTAATTATTTATTCTACAAAATGATCTGTGTATATACAAGTATAGACGGGAATAGATGGGCATTGTTGAATTAAGCATTGTATATCATATCACAGTTGAACCTGGTGTTATGCTTTCTCTCCCGAGAACAAATTACAGATAATGAGGACGGGGTCACTAATGACATAGGCGTTGATGGATGGGATAAGATTGATCTTGAACAAAAAAGATCAACATTTTCTACCAAGTGTTCGAAGTGGGATTCAAAATGAACCTTTCCAAAACAGAAACTATGACCTGCTATAGAAATGAAAGCAGTGTTGTTATCGACATTGAATCCATCAACATCAACATTTCTTACCAAGTGTTCGAAGAAATGAAATTCAAGATAAACCTTTCCAAAAAATAAATTATGAACTGTAATTGAAATGAAAGTAGTGATAGCACCGACCCTGAATCCATCAAAATCAACACTTCTTACCAAGTGTTCGAAGAAGTGGGATTCAAGATAAACCTTTCCAAAACAGAAACTATGAACTGCAATTGAAATGAAAGCAGTGATGGCACCGACACAGAATCCATCAAGATCAACATTGCCTACCAAGTGTTCGAAGAAGTGGGATTGAAAATGAACCTTTCCAAAACAGAAACTATGACCTGCTATAGAAATGAAAGCAGTGTTGTTATCGACATTGAATCCATCAACATCCACATTTCCTACTAAGTGTTCAAAGAAGTGGAATTCAAGATGAACTTTTCCAATACAGAACCTATGACCTGCAACTGAAATGAAAGCAGTGATGGCACCGACCCTGAATCCATCAAGATCAACATTTCGTAACAAGTGTTCGAAGAAGTGGAATTCAAGATAAACCTACCGAACCTGAATCAATCAAGATCAACATTTCCTACCAAGTGTTCGAAGATGTGGAATTCAAGATAAACCTTTCCAATACAGAACCTATGGACTGCAATTGAAATTAAAGCAATGATGGCTCCGAACCTTAATCCTTCAAAATCAACATTTTCTACCAAGTGTTCGAAGAAGTGGAATTCAAGATAAACCTTTCCAAAACAGTATGTCTTACCTGCAGTTTAAATGAAAGCAGTGATGGCACCGAGCCTGAATCCATCAATATCAACATTCTCTACCAAGTGTCCCACGAAGTGGTATTCAAATAAAGCTTTCCCAAACAGAAACTATGACCTGGAACTGAAATGAAAGTACTGATGGCACCGACCCTGAATCCATAATAAAAATTCCAGATATGGAATTAGTAAATACTAAACACTTGAATTACCTTAGTGGTTTTGGTTTGGTTTGGTTTGTATTTTTACGGCATATCATCCTCAATGGTTTATTTACTGCCGACTATATTTTTATTACTTGTAATATTTTTTCAAGATGTATTGCTGGTAATAATATATTGATGATGATAATTTTTTTTCAAAGATTTATTCCTAGTATTTTTTTTACAAAAATGTATTACTATTTTTACATTTTCATAGGGTTTTAAACCCCAGTTTGTGAGATAACTATTTGCTGACTGGGGCTACCACCCCGGGTCAGAATTCACCTGCGAACACCGGTAATTAAGAAGTATTTAAACGCTCCTCAAAATCTCCTGATCAAAGCCTTGCTGTTGGATGTAGTTTATCGTCTTACCCAGGACGGTTAAGTCAGTCTATTGATTAGATATAACAAATTTGGCATAGGAGCTCTGGAAATTAAATATAGAATTTGTCTGCGATAGATCTAGCTTCGTCCAGTATCAAACAAGTGCCCCAAAGCCAAAAAATTAATCTAAAAACTTGTCACTTCTTAAATAGCCTTGTCAGATCAAGGCATTGATATAGGTACCACGCAAACTGAATTAAGAAATAGCTAAACAGTCAGCATCATAGTGTCAATTTCTCAGATCAATGATTAAAAATAGGCAAGGACGTTGTTACATTATTTATTAAACAGAAAAATAAACAAGGGGTAGAAAAAAAGCCAAGATTGAAAGGCACACTCTTTGCATTAATCAAAACAAGATGAAAACTTATAAAATAAGATTATTGCCCTGATGGAAGTAATTGAAACTGAAGAAAATGCTTTTTTATTTGAAATGATCCAAGAGGAGCAGTCAAAATGTGATAAACCTTATTTTATTAAATTGGTCTACAAAATGAAAAACAATTGTTGGTGGTATCATAGTAGTAGTGGAACCTGCCCACCAATAACCGATTTTTTTTTGTTTTTGCCTTGTTAGAGAGTATCTAAGCAGCAGTTCCAAGAAATAGGGCTCAAGATAAAACTTTCCAAACAGAAACGTTCAAGTTATTGGAATGAAAACAGTGATTGCACCTGAATCAGTCATAAAAATTCAGGATGTGTATTTAGTAGAAACTGAACACTTCAAATACTTCGCTGTATGAATCAATTATAACAAATTAGGTTTCGGAGAAAAGGAAATTGAACACAGAATAGGATGTGCTAGAGGTAGTTTTGCCCAATACCACAATGTGCTACAAAGCCAAAACATTAACCCTAAAGCTGGAGTCACTACTTAAATGGCCTTGTCAGAAATAACTAAACAGTCATCTGCATAGGATCAATTTCTCATATCAATAATTAAAAATGGCTTCCAGTGAATAGTCTGTGGCTTTTAGAGAGGACAATTCTTCTTGTGGAGCGGCACTACAGAATCCCAAAGAAGTGCACCAGATAACAGGATGTATATCATTTGAGGAATATCAACAGCAGCAACAACTACAATGGATAGCAGATGTAACTGGAAGAAAAAATAATGATAGAATCAAGAGGCTGGTGTGCCCCACAATCGAAAAACTAAAGGCAAGGAAGGAAGCCCCGATCAGTACTGGAAAGAGCTATTACAATTAGTGGACATGTGAAATATTTTCTGAAAAAAAATGTTTTAATACAGAGACTTTATAAATCTCAACAATGGCAGTAAATGTGTGTTGCATGTTTCCGTATCAGGAATTACCTATTAGTAATATTAATATTGACATTACAAAAGGCTTTATTAGATTTATTATCATTATTATTATTAGTAGTAGTAGTAGTAGTAATAGTAGTAGTAACTTGTAGACCGCTACTACTCTGTAATTAGTGTGATCCTAATTATAAATGTGACAGATAGATAGATAGGTAGATAGATAGATGAACAGATGAATAGAAAAAAGACTGATATATATATATATATATATATATATATATATATATATATATATATATAAAAGATGGATACAGAGATAGAGATGATCCGAGTAGATAGATAGATAGATAGATAGATAGATAGATAGATAGATAGATATGAAAAGATGGATACAGAGAGAGAGAAAGAGATGATCCGAGTAGATAGCTAGATAGCTAGATAAATATGAAAAGACTGAGATAGATAGATAGATAGATAGATAGATAGATAGATAGATAGATAGATATGAATGTGAAAAGACTGAGATAGATAGATGATGTATGAAAGACTGAGATAGATAGATAGATGAATAGATAGATGATGAATGAGATAGAAATGATCCGACTAAATAGATAGATAAAATGATCTGACTATATATATATATATATATATATATATATATATATATATATAGAGAGAGAGAGAGAGAGAGAGAGATAGATAGATAGATAGATAGATAGATAGATAGATAGATAGATAGATAGATAGATAGATAGAAATTGGCTCACTTCTTACATTGTCTGGACACACCCATCTCCTAGGGCAGCTAGCTAATCCCTGCTGCCGACACCTGCTCAGTGACATGTTTGCTTGTTCAACACCCACAGAGTCCACCAGTGGTTTATACACAACTATACTGACTAAATCTTTGTTACACTTCCTGAGAGAGATCGCATAATCTGACATGATCAGCAGTTTGAACAATGCCAGTATGCTACAAAAAAACTCGCTCATGCTGACTTATGACTTTGGGCTAGCACATCAATCGACAACTTCCAAACAATTCTGTCTCCCCAATTTCACTTACAAGTTACCTTCCTAGCAAAATGATCGATCATGCTGAAATTCAAACTTGGCTCTCATGGTCAGAAAATGAGCGGCCTTAACACTCGGCCACTCGATACATGCCATATTTTCTTGTGTATAATACGACCCCGTTTTCCTGAAGCTAAAAGCGGAATGATTTATATCTTTGAATATACTACGAGACCGTATAATTATTTTTAAAGTTGTACCAACCATTAAAATCTCAATGTTGTATGTATATTTCATTAAAATATTTAATTTACCACGAAATTAAAGAATAAAACTGGACCGGATGTTTAGCCACTGCGTGTTTTCTCTACGAATTTCCGTTTCAGAAGTTATTTTAGGAGAAAGGTGCTTTGTTGTAACATTAATGATAGATAGATAGATAGATAGAGAAAGAGAGAGAGAGAGAGAGAGAGAGAGGGAGAGAGAGAGAAGATCCGACTAGGTAGATAGATATATAGATAGAGAGAGAGAGAGGTAAAATGATCCAACTAGATAGATAGATAGATAGATAGATAGATAGATAGATAGATAGATAGATAGATATGAACATACTGGAAGATAGATAGATAGATAGATAGATAGATAGATAGATAGATAGATAGATAGATATGAACATTCTGGAAGATAGATAGAGATGATCTGACTAGATAGATAGATACAGAGAGAGAGAGAGAGAGAGAGAGAAATGATCCGATTAGATAGACAGATAGATAGATAGATAGATAGATAGATAGATAGAAAGAAGTTATCTGACTAGTTAGATAGATACAGAGAAAGAGGGAGAGAAATGATCCGACTACATAAATAGATAGATAGATAGATTTTCCGTTTCAAAACTTATTTTCGGGGAAAGGTGCAATGTTGTAACATTAATGTTATCAAAACATGCCAGATCTTGTGTATTCCGTTTATTAGTTTTGTTAATCAATTTTGGTGAATTTCCTGTCTTTGCGACAAAAGATATTCAATTACGTTGATTCGCAAAGGACAAAAATTGCCAACATATCAAATATCTTTTGTAAACAATTGTTATCAACACCTTCCTACTTTGTGCAATTGTGCTGAGTGTATTTGAAATCATACTGTTTCAAATATGAAGTTTTTAAGTTCACTAAGTATTTCTGAAAACGTATACTTGTGTATAATACGGCCTTCCTCTTCTTTTACCTTTAATTTTCCTTCAACATTTCTTGTATTATACGCAAGAGTCGTGAGAAAGAGAGAGACAGAGAGAGCGAGAGAAAGAGAGAGATAGTGAGAGAGACAGAGAGAGACATAGAGAGCGAGAGAAAGAGAGTCGTGAGAAATAGAGAGACACAGAGAGAGGCAGTGAGAGACATAGAGAGCGAGAGAGAGATAGTGAGAGAGAAAGAGAGAGACAGAGAGAGCGAGAGAAAGAGAGAGTCGTGAGAAAGAGACAGGCAGAGAGTGACATAGAGGGCGAGTGAAAGAGAGATTCGTGAGAAAGAGAAAGACACAGAGAGAGGCAATAAGAGACAGAGAGAGCGAGAGAAAGAGAGAGATAGTGAGAAAGACAGAGTGAGCGAGAGAAAGAGAGAGTCGTGAGAAAGAGAGAGACATAGAGTGACATAGAGGGCGAGAGAGAGTCGAAGAGAAAGAGAGACAGAGAGAGCGAGAGATAGTGAGAGAGAGCAAGAGAAAGAGAGAGTCGTGAGAAAGAGAGAGACAGAGAGTGACATAGAGGGCGAGAGAAAGAGAGAGATAGTGAGAGAGACAGAGAGAGCGAGAGAAAGAGAAAGTTGTGAGAAAGAGAGAGACAGAGAGTGACAGAGAGAGCGAGAGAAAGAGAGAGTCGTGAGAAAGAGAGAGGTAGTTAGAGACAGATAGAGTGAGAGAAAGAGAGAGATAGTGAGAGAGACAGAGAGAGACATAGAGAGCGAGAGAAAGAGATAGTCGTGAGAAAGAGAGAGGCAGAGAGAGCGAGAGAGAGACAGAGGTAACGAGAGAAAGACAGGGCGAAAGAAAAAGAGAGAGTGTCAGGGAGAGAGACAGAGAGAGGCATAGAGAACGAGAGAAAGAGAGAGACAGAGATAACGAGAGAAAGAGAGAGCGATTGATAAAAGAAAGACAGAGCTAGTGAAAGAGGGAGAGAAAAAGGGAAAAACAGAGAGAGCGAGAGAAAGAGAGAGTCAGGGAGAGAGACAGAGAGAGCGAGAGAAAGAGAGAGAGACAGAGAGTCAGAAAGTGAGACAGAAAGAGAGATAGACAGAGAGAGGAGGAGGGAGAAAGCAGTAATCTACATAGTTATAGTCTGTCATTGTGGATTTATTTGTTTTTCTCAGCTTACAAACTTGGAAAAAGTACAGGCTGTAAGCACACCCGAGTGAAATGGGTCAGAAGGCCCGAGCCATTGTGATTTAGCTATAAACACAAACTATAATTAAAATGTCTTCAAGGAAACACAACACCATTTTAAGTGTTCTTCAGCAGTCACCTTATTTTAAACTTAAACTCAATTTTTAGGCCAAGCAACTAACCCATAATACTGTTAACGGGTGACTATATTTGCTTTTAAAACTGAAATCCCAGGTAGGATTTCTCATATAAAAGCCGACTACATCTATATCCATTTTACAGTTCTCTTAACTCCAGAATCAATTGTATTCTCCTTGCTTTGAGCCTCTATTAGAATTCAAATCCATTCCAGACCTCAAGTTCCATCATTAAAAATGTTGGAAAAATGATCGAGTACTTGTATCACTTCAGAAAATACCTGACTCCCTTACTACCATCCTCCGTCTTTATATGAGTCAGCTCAGACCAAAAACAGAGTATTGGTGTTATATCTGAACTGGAGCTACGCAATCTTCACTTTCCTGCTTTGACCTAGTTCAAAAGCATTTACGCAGTTTTGTGGTCAATGGATTATCTTCAACCCGACAGCCACTCTCCAAACAGATCTTTTTGTTTTGTTTTTTTAAGCATTTTACCTCAAGCAAGGCAATAAAGCCTCTAAGATGCAAGGGATTACTGAACGTGAAAGAGCATAAGGAAAAGAATCATGTAAACCAATTGCTACTCTATCACTAATACGTGTGTGCGATGGATAAATTGTCGTCTAAATGCCGCAAAAAATGAAAATAACACTGATATCTCATTTTAACAGATATATTTATCAAAAGTGCACAAAAACATTTTGAAATACTAAAGAGTAAAATTATTCAATAAAATCGCTATTGGCTTCAACCACAGCCTTCAGACAACTTCGGAATCTCCTGCAACTCTTCTGAATGGTCTCCTTGTTTAAGTTGCCTTCAGTACATTTTTGGTGTTACAAGGAGTTTTATTGGTCTCTTGCTCAAAGATGCCCCACACATAATAATCAAGTGGGTTGTAATCTGGGGAGTTAGGTGGCCAAATGGAAGGGTTGATGTGGTTTCGGAAATTGTCTGACAGCCATGACTGGCTTCTCTCCTGATTGTGTGGCATGGTGCAGAATCCTGTTTCCAGACATAGGATCTTTCAGCTGCCACCCTCTTGACCCAGGGCAGTATTACCTCCACAAGGCACTTGACGTAGACCTCCGTGTTGAGTTTGAGACCTTGAGAGAAGATGAATGGAGGCATAATCTCGTCATCACTTGTTATCACGCCAAACATCTTCGTAATAATCATTAGACTCATTCAAATCTTTCTGAATCTTCTGCACTGTCCTCAGATTGATGCACAAAACCATTTAAATATTAAGCAGTACAGCAAGCCGTTTCCAAGTATCTGGCGGAGTGAATTGCGTCATAGTGCTATTATTCTCACAAACGGTGCCCAACTGAGCCTACTATCCTGTGCAGTCGATAAAATGAAAAACAAACAACGCGCATGCGCGAAATTAAAATATAAAATGGCGACACCCTGTATATATGCTCACTGGAAATTTAATTTTAAATATAATGTAGCTCTGTTTTTCCTGTGTGCATCTATAGCGGACTTTTTGGATCTGTTTATTCTATTATTTTATATACAGTCAACGACGAAATTATTCGTACACCCATCAATTTTGAATATCGTTATGCATTTCTCAGAATCTAATGCCCGTATAATGTCATGTTTTTTTATATGTTAAGAAGCACAAAAAAGGGATATAAAACTCAATTTTCAAAACAATAGGTTATTTACAACAAATTTAACAGGCGAATTATGCAAAATAAGAAAAGACAAAAGACAATCTGTTTCATACTTGAACGCAATCTTCAGGCCATGTGTGTTGTATTTTGGCTCGACTATTTATACATGCTTGTCAATGATGCATTATGGGTAGCAAGGTCTATTGTATTATTTTAACGGTTATAGAATACGCAATAACGGTTATATTTCAAATTATTCTGAAGGTCATCAAAAAGTATCGGGACTAGTGCTATAAAACGAAAACGAAAACACTTAATTTCAGAATTTAATCTCTTTAGAAGTAATCCCATTCTGAAGCTACACACTTTATCCAGTGTCGTTTCCATTGAGAGAAGAATTCCTGGAACTGCTTTTTGGGGATAGTGAGCAGCTGCTTCGTTACGTTCTCTTACGTTGCCTCGATGTCCTGAAATCTTGTTCCTTTCGAGCGGTATTTGATTTTTGAAGAAGAAAATGTCGTAAGGGGCGAGACCTGGGAATATGTAACTGTCAGACCTGTGTAATGTTATGAAAACTGCTCCTTAAGCGATGGTCACTGATAACCGCACTCTACACACTTTCCTTCCAAGAATTACTATTGAGCGAAACCTCTAAACTTAGTGTCCAAGGTCAATCTTTACCAAGCGGTTTCAGTCTGTGTACTTTAGCTTCGTTACCTTAGCAAAAGTCCCAATATTTTTTTATCAGACCTCGCATATATATATATATATATATATATATATATATATGTGTGTGTGTGTGTGTGTGTGTGTGTGTGTGTGTGTGTGTGTGTGTGTGTGTATTTAGGCAGCAATCCTTCTTTCATGCACATTTCATTGAATACGACAGACAAGGTGCTTTTATTTAGTTTTTATACAATTTCTCATGCGATCTAATAATTTTTTTTCTTTTCGGATGATAAATTATATATAAACTGTCCAAATATTCTTTTTATCATGAGCGCTTTCGGCTATAAATTTAGCCATTTATAAGGATTAAATATTTTAACTGTTAAATAAGAAATACTTTGTTGTATGTATGTTTTATAAAATGTTTTCATTATCCAAAACACGGTCAAGATATTGTCTCCATGTTCAAAGTTAATATTATTAAGTGTTGCTTTTTTGTTGTTTTTATTAATAAGGCTTACATTATTTTTAGCCTTTTTTGCATGTAGATGATGCTATTATATTAGTGTTTTCAACAAGTATGTTACGAATAGTGTCCGGTAGGTCTCCATGAATATTTAAATGAAATCTAATTGAGCTATTGTCAGAAAAGTGTAGAGTGAGTCTGCGTGTTAAACATGTTGTAGTGTGTGGCCTATATAATTATTTACGAATTTTGATTGATGAAATGTGCATATATATATATATATATATATATATATATATATATATATTTATAAAGAAATATAATCTTAAGATGTGCTATATTTATGGGATAAAGTGCTCAATATCAGAGATAGAGCGTGTATAAATATAAAAGTGAACATTGAAGTCAACACTTAGAGACGACAGTCTGTTTCATGCTAGACGCAATCGTCAGACCACTCTAGCAGGAAACACACTGTCGCCTCTAAGTGTTGACTTCAATGTTCACTTTCATATATATATATATATATATATATATATATATATATATATATATATATATATAATGAATAAGGTATATTCAGGACGATTATAAAAGAACCGACATGGTCTTTCTGTTGAATTTTTATTGTATTTTCCAATTTTCGTTGTTAGGTATTGGGATTCATATTGTGAATAAACTGTCCGAAGTTCATGTTTGTGTTATGGTTTGTTCAAATACATTATCGGCCGTCTTTGTAGATAGCGTCAAAGGAATTTTGCCTACCACACAAACACCACATTAGTTCTTCTTATAATTATTCACATTATTCGAAAACTGGAAACATAGAAATAAGAAAAAATAGACTGGCACACCTTGTCGGTGCTTTTTGATCAAGCTTGTTTGGATTAATTCTTACTACCTAAATATACATTCAAATAAATATAGGTTTTTTCTCTGACTCTCGAAATAGACATATCAGCTCAGTTTCGTGAAAAAAAAAAAAGAAGGAATGGAATTTTTATTTATTAATGTGACAGATTTTATTACTTAAACGTTATTTTTAGTGGTTACCCGTATTTAAGTAGACGTCCGTTTATTTATTAAACAGTATATTTATTAATTTTTGTCTACCAGCCTGAATATTCGAGAAATCTTATTCAAGAAAGATATGCCCTCTCCGACAGGAGTGGAACCTGCGTCCCTCTAATTTAATTTAATAGATTAATTACAATTAATTATACGGTGTTGCTTAGCAGTCCTTGGTCATATTACTTCCTTTAAACTAATCTATTTAATTTAATCTATTTAAACGTTGAAGATGACTAACCACAAATGTACACGAATAACAAATGTAACCTAGTCTACGTAGCAATACAGGGCTATCTACTGTAAATTTTCTTTAGACTTAACTCAAAACCGAAATATTTGCGAACTTTTGTAATTGTTTTGATGTGAGAAACTCGCCCCCAAAGTTTGTAAAAGCATCTTTGATACACCAGATAGATAGATAGATAGATAGATAGATAGATAGATAAAGATTGTTCTAATAACTTGGACCGATTTTAAATGTGAATTAAACTTAAAACCGGTCCAAGTTATTGGAATACACTTTATATATATATATATATATATATATATATTAACTTATGCTATATTAATCGGTTTAAAGTGCACAATATAGTGTAAATATAAAAGTGGACGTTAAGGTCAACACATAGCGGCGACAGTTTGATGCCCTGAGGTTTGCTCCGCTGCGTGTTGGCCACAATATCACTTTTACACACACACACACACACACACACACACACACACACACACATATATATATATATATATGTATGGATGCAAAACTTTCAGATAGAGTTTATCTGTAAAAGGATGATATGAGTAAAGTCTCTGTGGCTCTTTATCAAGGCAAATGCGAAGGTTTTTTATTTTTTGTAACAAATATTTATTGAGCGATTGTTATGAAGATATATATATATATATATATATATATATATATATATATATATATATATATATACTTGTTACAAAATAAAATCCCTGCATTTGCCTTGATAAAGTTCCTCAGAAAACGAAACGCTTCGATTAAGTAAGATAATTTTACTTTTCTTCTTTAGGTATATATATATATATATGTGCGTGTGTGTGTGTCTGTGTGTGTGTGCATGTATGTGTCTGTGTGCGTGTTTTTTTTTAGTACGTCAGTGTTGTAGATTGAATATGGCATTTTTAAAATGCGGTGTGTATTGTGTGTCGCGTAGGTGTCAAAAGCTTTCTCGATTAGCTCACAATGTCTTAAACGCAGATACTTTTGTTCCGCTACTGTAAACTTATAGACTTCGGTGCTTTCTGACTCTGACGAAAGCCTACACGGTAATGAATGTGGGTCGTTGCTCAGAGTGTCGGTCAGTTCAGACCTATTCTTCTCCCTACTATCGCTCTACCTACATTTTTTCAAACTACTAACTAAATAACCTAATTATCGGTGAACAAGGTAACCCACAGAATAAACCTGGCACAAGTCCAGAAAATGTCGCCCAGCATCAGGC